TCTGCCAGGGAAAGATGGGAGTCGCTAGAAATCCAGCCCCTTGTGTGTCAAGTGCAGACCCTCCCTTGGGCCCCAAGCTGAATGAAACTTTAGAGAGTGAACTATTTTTCCTGGGACCCTTCTCCTGTCCCCTGCATGGAATTGGAGCTGTGCATCCTCAAAAAATAAATAAATGAATGAATTGCTGGGTAGGACTTGTTTTACTTAGCATAGTACCCTCTAGGTCTGTTCATGTTGTCACAAATGGTAAGACTTCATTCTTTTTTATAACTCAGTAATATTCCAATGTATATAGTACCACGTCTTCTTTATCCAGTCATCTCTTGATGGACACTTAGGTTGCTTCTGTAGCTTAGCTATTGTAAATAGTGCTGCAGTGAACATAAGGATGCATATATATGTTTGAATTAGTGTTTTGGATTTCTTCAATAAATACCCTGAATTGGAATTGCTGGGTGGTAAGGTAATTCTGTTTCTAATTTTTTGAGGAACCTCCATACTGTTTTCCATAGTGTCTGCATCAACTTACAATCCCACCAACAGTGCACGAGGGTTCACGCTTCTTCACATTCTTGCCAACACTTTGTTTGTTGACTTAATGATGATAGCAATTCTGACATGTGTGAGGTGATTTCTAATTGAAGCTTTAATTTTTATTTTCTCTGATGATTAGTTATGTTGAGCACCTTTTCATATATCTATTGGCCATCTGTGTATCCTGTTTAGAGAAATATCTATTTAGGCCCTCTCCTCATTTTTAATTGGATTGTTTGCTTTTTTGGTGTTAAGTTGTATGAATTCTAGATATTAACCCTTTATATGATGTAACATTAGCAAATATCTTCTCCCATTCAGTAGGTTGTCTTTTCATTTTGTTGATGATTTCCTTTGTTGTACAAACACCTTTTAGTTTGATGCAGTCCCATTTGTTTATCACTTGTTTTCCTGGCAGAAAAGGACAAATACCATATCATTTTGCTTATATGTGTAATCTACAAACCAAAAAAAAAAACCAAAAACAAACAGACTTATATATACAAAAAACAAAATGATTGTTTTTAGATGGAAGGGGGTTTGGGAGGCTGAGTTGAAGGTTAATGGAATAAGAAAAGCAACTTGTTAGTTATAAAATATTCATGGGAATACAAAGTACATCATAGGGAATATAGTCAATAATATTATAATAATTGCATAGGGTCAGATGGGCTAAAACTCATTGAGGTAGACCACTTTATAAGTTACATAAATGTCTAACCACTATCACCTGAAACATAATACTGAATGTCAATTGTAATTGAAAAATAAAAAGAAACAAAAAAAATTACTGGGTCAAAATTCAGTGCATTTTAAATGATTTCTATAAGCAAACTGCTGTCTTTCAAGCAAACAAATAAAAATAATCAGCAATATTAACATAATCACTAATCTTGAAAAGCTACCTACGACTTTGACGTCAGGCACTGTCCTTGGGGTAAGTGAAAAGATGCAAGAATATTAGCTCTTTTCTCATTGTATTCTTCTACTTAGCCCTTATTTCTTGCATTTTTCTCTTCTGTTTATGTTCTAATATAAGTCTGCTATTAGCTGTCCAATTCTATAGAGGGAGGAAGTACCCCCAGGCTAGGAGGTAGTGAGGGCAAGTTCCAGAGGGGAAATAGCAATCCAGATTCTGCTAGTGACCAACAACATGACTTGAATAAGCAACTTAAGCTCTCTATCCCTTAGATTCTTCGAAAAATGTGTTCCTTCTTCCTGTTTCTCCTACAGAGTAGTTTCCAGGACAGAATATGATAGATGAAAAAGTCTTTAAAAATAGGAACCAACCATACTATATAATCAGGTCTTAGGACTTTTATATTTTTAAACCAATCTATAGATAGTGTGCAGAAACCTTTGAATCAAAAGGCTGTTGGCTATTATATTTTTTGAACATTAGTGATTTATGAAAATGCTTTGTCTTCATAAAATATACACTATTGAAGTCATTGCTACAAAATATTAATACAGCAAAATCAAGATGAATATGCGGCTCCACATTAATGAGAGGTTGAAGGTCATATTCTTCTGCTTTCAAGTCAGGTCTGAATAATAGTTACCTTTAAAGTGGTTTAAACTTGAGATTTTCCTTACTAATAGAAGAAACAAATTAAAGAAACATTGTGCTTACAACATTTATGAAAGCTTTTCAGAGGAAGCAGCTGTGGTTTCTTTAAACTCCCAAGTCTATTATACAGGTTAGCAGTATATTTTATAATGAGTTCTAGACCACCTGCCTTTCTCAGGAAATTAATATCGAGATTTTTTTTTTAGTCTTCTTTGTCCTCAGTGGCCGTGTAAAAGGTTTTCCTATTTAGTGAGTTTTGGGTACCCCATAAGCATGTTCATTCAATGTTGTTCAGCTATAAGTGAGTATTTTTTAAGACATTGTCTAAATGAGTGTTCAACAAATGCTTGGTGAATTTTGAGATTAAAACATGCACTTCCTTAGTAAAACAGCAGATGATGTACATACAGTTTTACTTTATGGTGAATAAATACCTATAATGAGTAAAACAGTATTTTAAATAAGTTTGGCTATAGTCTTAAACCATTGGAATTTCAAAATATTGTTTTAATTCTTTTTCTTCTCTTAACCCCTATAGGAGTTTCAGGGGGAAAATCAATGGATTCAGGAAGCAGTAGGAGTTTGGAGAATACCGTTAAATAGGGTCTATTCTGATTAGCTGGTTCCAAAGATAAACATAAGCAAGAAAATGTCCACTTTAGCAAACTCACCCAGCATCCTGGAAATACCACAAGAGATTAAGAAAAGCTGTGGCGACAAACAGGTGGAAACCACAGTCGACAGAATAAAAATGGCAAAGAGCATCAAAGAAAAACAAAGCAATGATTTAGAGAAACTGGCCTTTAAAAGGAAGGCAGAAGGTGAAGAAAAGCCAGCTGGAAGGAAGGAGGCAAAGATCATGGAACTTGACAGCCCATTGATCACCCTGCCTCTGCCTCACATCCCCTTAAAAAGCATCATGGATGTGGAGGTGAAGCTGGTCTATGTTGATGAAGAGGATGTGAGCTATGAGTTTGTAGAGTCCTTCACATCCACTGGGATTCAGCCAACATGCCAAGAGGCTGAAATAGTAGACCCTTTGCATGGACCTAATTTCAACTTTCTGCCTCAGATTGACAAATGGCTTCAAGTAGCCTTAAAGGACGCCAGCGTGTGCTACAGACAAAAGAAATACGCCGTGGCAGCAGGACAGTTCAGAACAGCACTGGAGGTATGGGATTAAAGACAGATTGGTGAGCGGAGGCTGTGAAATGAACAGGTGTGATTACGCGGAGCAGCTCTGATCATACTGTAATGAATAGTGATCATGGGGTGAAAGTATTGAATGACATGAGGATTATGTGGTTTCCCAGTTTACATAAAGCAAATAAGATATGCCTGCAAATTAAAATGCCTGTGTGCACTTGACATACCTCATGCATTTTCTCTGATAACAAACATTGAATGAATGATAACATATAAAAAGTGCAGTTGGTTTTGTAATTTATACCTATAAAAGCCATAGCGTATTAGTATAGCGGTGGTGGGTAGAATATATATTCTCTAGACATAGGCAGTTAGTAAGTATATGAATTGTCCCCTTTTGATGTAGTCTTCATGATTAAATGTAGCCATCTTTATTTTTTAGTATGGACTGATAATTTATAGATGATACTTATTAAAAACAAAATGACACCATTTTACTTTATTATCAAACTGCACTTTCCTTCCTAGCTTAGTGAGCTTTGTGCAGGCAGGTAAGTCAGTCAATATCCTATATAATCCTATATAATAAAAGACTAATATGCCAAGTGTCCCCACAGGCGGGAGTTTGACCAACCGGGAGTTAGACATGCACTGACCACCAGGGGTGGTGGTGGCAGGCAGTCAGGGGAAGGGAGACCCCAGCCAGCAGTCACTAGGGATGCTACCCGTGCACAAATTTTGTGTTGTTATAAAAGAAATAGCCCACGGACTAAAATGAACTTGAGAATCACCACTAAAACACAAAATAGTGGTAGGAAAATTTGCTTCATCTCTTGACTCACTAATTCTATAAAAGGATCAAAGTGTATAACTACAAATCCCACTGGTCTGGCAATATGGGTAACTACATATTTCATTAACCACAAAAAATATCAATGCATTATCTATATATGCCTGGTGGCCACTGGAGATATTATAAATGAGGCAAGACATGGTTTCTTTCCTTTAGTAGTCTGATGAGGGAGACAAACCAGTAAACAGTTAAGTAGAGGTGGCTTGAAGGAATAGAGACTGATCTGCCATGGGACAGGGGGGATGGTCAGGAGTCAAGTGTGAGATGTTTGTGATGGAGATTTAAAGAGTAAAGTATATCCACTCTTACTTGCAGGTTAAAGTGACTACATCTACAATGAATTATTAATGGACAATACCAGACAATGGTGCCCCTAAATATTTAAAAAGAAACTCTAAGTGCAAAAAGAGAGGCCTGAAGAGAGATGAAAGGATGAGGTGGAGCACAAATAGATGCATCTGTAAATATTTCTGTCCATAAGGGGTTATCTACACAAAGAAGGGAAGAGGGATGGTACTATGTATAAAGTGCCCAAATAATCAAGCTACCCACACAGCACTGAGAGCCCTCTGCTGAGAAAAGGATGTTAAAGAAAGACTTCAGAAAGACCCTTGGGCACTTCTACTAGGGCCATTTTCAGCTGAAATATTTTTTTGTGGGGAGAACAGAAGGCATAGTTAAAGGTGCAGGCAGTCGTAGGGTTACATCGGACTCAATGTACTTCGTTTTGTGGTTACGTCGCCATCTCCCATTTATTTATTTTTTAAAAAGTTCCGTCACTTTGACATATGTACATACGTGCTTTATGTTTTTTATTATTTATTTACCGCAAGTAAAGGTCAGGAATTGTTATAGTCCTTTCAAATATTTTTACTGTTTCACTTCATTACTGCTGTGTATGTGCTCCATGTGAGTGACGTAGGTGCTTATGTAAGTGGGTTCCGACTTACGGAGAAAGTCACCTTACTTCGTGCTGTAGGAACGGATCTCCGATGTAACCCGAGGACCTACTGTATAAATAATCATTTTGTCAATGAAAAAAGAGAGGCATAAATAAGAAAGGATATAAACTTCCAATTAAGCCGAAGTAGACAGAAAAGCTATCTGCATTAACTGGAAGAAACTATCCAGTTTTTCCATAAAACCCAGTGTTCAAAACTGTAACATTTGAATCAGGTTTTAATGATCACAAAACATAATTGTACTAGAAAATGCTTGTGTTCTGACTCTCTCTTATGATACAGTCATTCTCTACCCCCACCCCTCATAACTCTCTCTCTCTCTCTCTCTCTCTCTCTCTCTCTCTGTCTCTCTCTCTCTGCCCACCCTCCACATCCCCCCCACAAAGTTTTAGGAAAGTATTGGATGCTGACACTAATTACTGATAATTAACAAAGGTAATTAATTTGAGACCTAAGCTTAGCTTAGACATCTGGTCTAGCTTTTGTCTCATTATCTTGGGAGTTAACTTTGAAATCTTACCTAGAATGTCTCTTAATAAGCTAAAGCTACTAGGAATAGAAACAATTTTTAATTTCTTTAACCCTTTCTTCTCCTGATTTTAACTTCTCCTAAGTTAAACTTCTTCAATACTGAATGTTCTCAGGTATCGCTTAATCATCTCTCTCTTTTCCTTTGGTCCCACCATGGCTTTGAGTAAGATAGGATGGATGACAAAGACCAAGGCCTAATGATAAGAATCATACCTGAAAGATAGATGCATCAATGACTATTTATTTGAGTGTAAGTTAGGATTAGGTTTGGCTGCAAGTGACAGAAAATCCAAAATAACAGAGTCTACTCTAAAGCAAGAGAGAAGTTTATTTTTCTTTCACATAAATGTAGTTAGAGAAGGGCAGGTATCGTGAGATCATCAGGGTGTCAGATTATATTCTTTAAGATGTGGCTTTGACCTCATGACCTAAAATGCCAGCCCCTATTGTTGTCATTGAATCCACAGTCTAGCGCAGTGATGGCGAACCTATGACATGCGTGTCAAAGGTGACATGCGAACTCATTTTTTGGTTGATTTTTCTTTGTTAAATGGCATTTAAATATATAAAATAAATATCAAAAATATAAATCTTTGTTTTACTCTGGTTGCAAATATCAAAAAATTTCTATATGTGACACTGCACCAGAGTTAAGTTAGGGTTTTTCAAAATGCTAACACGCCGAGCTCAAAAGGTTCGCCATCACTAGTCTTGCCAATCAAAGGGGGGAAAAGGAAGGACTGAGTACGTTGGGTCTCTGTTAGCACACCTCACACAAGTTGCGCACACCATTTCCATTTTTTGTTTCATTGACCCAAATGGAGGAATGTGGCCACCCAAATCTACAAGAGAGACTGAAATATATTGTCTTCATTCCAGATGCTTCTAACATTCAGGTCCTATTACTGAGGAAGAAGGGTAGAACAGATAATACTGAGAGATAACTAGCAAGTTTCCATTACAATGCTTGCTACTTGCGAGGCATTGGAAAACATACAAATGTTTGCCAAATGGGTGTTAAAAAGACAGCTGGTGGGACTATACAGAAACAGAAAAGTAAAAAACCAGGAAAGGCCCTGGACATTTGTAAGTATTTATTAATTGACTTGATAATTTCCAGTGCATCTAATAATCCCTTTAGGAATATTATGCTTATGTGTTAGTTCCCCTGTGCTCTTGACAAAGTATTAACTCATTTTTATGATAAAATTTTATAGTGATTAAGATGAAATGGTATGCAATGATTGAGAAGACAAGAGCTTCCAAAATGCAGTCAACTTTAGTCTTTTAGGATTTCAGAACACAGGAGGCATTTATTAAATGTGCTTAATGAAACTTATTTTGCAATGTTTTCTTTTTACTGTATAAAGTTGAACCAGTTATGTTGGTAAGATTAATCCTGAGATCTGTGACCAACTCATCAATCCTTGTTAAGTTTTATTAAAATCAGTCATTTGCTCTTGTGTTTGTATTCACATCAGGAGTCACACTAGCAGGGCAGAAGGTATAAGCTGAAGGTAAAAATTCATATTAAATTAAACTTTTATGCCTAGATGCTATTCCCTGTAAATTTTTAGAGGAGAAGTATCTATCAATCCCCAGAGGGAAAGTAGGGGAGGGAGGGGGTAAAGGGGAGAGATCAACCAAAGGACTTGTATGCATGCATATAAGCCAAACCAATGGACAAGGACAACAGGGGGATGAGACCATGAGTGGGGGGGGAGGGGCGGGGAGGTTGGGAGTTAAATGGGGAGGGATGAGGACACATTTGTAATACCTTAACCAATAAAGAAATTAAAAAAAAAATAGTAGGGGCTCTCTAGAAGGAAATATATAAGACCCTGGCCCCATGTGGTTGTATTTGCATAGTAGGCAATACACACTACTTTCAATATATTGCTTAGCTGTTAGTAAAAAGAGTAGGAAAAAAACTAATTAATAAACAATCTAGCTTCTCTTTAATAGGAAGAAGAAGAATTATTAATAAAGACCTATAAGAAAACTTGAAGGTTTGGGAATGTACTAATCAGGTTTTTCTTGTCACTTACAGGAAAAACACTCATTATCAAAGGTTCTTCTAAGTTTGTTGCGTGCAACCTAAACAATATCATCATTTCAATCTTACTCATAGGATCTTAGTAGTTAAGAGGCTTCCACCTTTTGAATTAGAATTAAATCTATACACACTCTTCAAAATTCACAGCCTCAAACAGTCCCATTGATCCAGCTTATCCTTTACCAAATGGAACTTTCAATTCTGATTTCATCACATAGGAATCCCTTAAAGCAGTGGTCGCTAACCGGTGATCCGTGAGGTCCGAAAGGTTGACCGCTGGCTTAAGGAAACCTTTGGAGCAGCATTCAACAACTGGTTGTCCATGGACCACTGATGGTCCGTGAGGTCAGAAAGGTTGGCAACCGCTGCCTTAAAGTATTTATCTTTTAAAAAAAAATATATGTTGGTGCGTCAGTCACTGATCTGTGAAGTTAGAGTAATAACTCACATTTATGGAGCTCTATCTACAGGTCAGATGTCACTGTATTTTACATTTATTATTCCACTAGAGGCCCGGTGCATGGATTCGTGCACCGTTGGGGTCCCTCGACCTGGCTTGCACCCTCTCACAGTCCAGGACCCCTCGGGGGATGTCGGACTGCCAGTTTCAGCCTTATCCCCACAGGCCAGGCTGAGGAACCCCACCACTACATGAATCTGTGCACTGGGCCTCTAGTATGCATATAAGATCTTTGGTTAATTTCTTCCTGCCCTCCCCTCTCTCCTCTTCCCTCTGTGATTCATCAGTCTGTTCCATGTTTCCATGCCTGTGCATTGAGCGTCTGCCCCCGTTGGTCAGTGCGCATCATAGCTATTGGTCGAATGGTCGCTTAGGCTTTTATATATATAGATTTTATTCTCACAACAAGCTTATGAGATGAGACAATTATTCTTGTGTTACTAATGAGAAAACTAAGGAAGAGACAAGTTAAGGAACTTCCTCAAGGGTCAACAGCTAGAAGCAGTAGAGCCAGGAGCTAACCAGGGTGATGTGGCTCAGAGCTCACCAGCTCAGCCACTATGCCTGTGCCACTCTAAGCGTGACTTTGTTGGAAAAACAGAATTTTGGACTGGGCCCTACCTGCAGAATCAGGATCTGCATTATAACAAGATCCCAAGTGGTCTCTGTGCACATTGCAGTTTGAGGAGCATGGCACTCTGTAATATGCCCACATGGAACAGATTTGCCCTCCAATTATAACTTTGCAGCTGGGTCCCTCATTTAAAATGCTCTATGCCTCTCACTAATTTCTGAGGAAATAATTCCCTCTTAGGCAGTTTTTTCTACATGAATGGTTTAGAATTTTGGGGTTTCAAGGACCCATAATTTTTTTATTAAATTTAAGGAGGAGGGTTGCTGTTGTATTTGTAAGAACATTACAAAAGTTACCATCTATTAGCGTCATTACTTCATAATAAAAATATGGAGTAATTTAAGGCCAATAAGGTAAAAAGAAAATAGAAAGAGCATATTCTCCAGAAGAAGGATTTTGTAGATTCCATTTTAATTTGATGAAAAGTTGACTAAATTGTCTTTACTTTTTATTTCCCCTTGGAGATCAGTAAGGCATCAGTCTGAGAACCAGCTTGTGGGAATCACTGTTCTAGAACACATTCCCTTTATGGTAAACGTTAGGTATCCAGGACGAGTGAACCTGCACAGAGCCTTCTTATGAGATTACTTTCCAGGGTAATGGAATTTGGTATGAGGCAGGTCCATTTTGGAGCCCATCCAAGGGGGCTTATTTAATGAAGTAGCAAAGATATCTCATTACGGGGCAGCCTCACCTATAATTGCTCTGCCGAGAATAATTCGGTAGCAAATCTCTAGGGCATGAAAATGTGGACATCCCAGAAAGCTTAATTTAAATGGATTCTAACACAGATAGTTCTTAGTGCAACATGATCAAGAAATCAAGAGCTCACCAAATTTTCTGAGTCCCTGAGCTGTCTTTTTACCCCTCTGTGGCTTTGCATGTGGATTCAGTATGCGCTTCTTAAGTCCTGCTGGGGTCCGGGCCCTTTTCTTCAGATAAGCATCACAGTAACCCTCAAAGACAGTGCCCCCCTTTTACAGAAAAATAAGCTGATGCTCTAAAATGTCTTTTTTTTTTAAAGCAACAACTTAAAGTGCCACAGCTAGTTTGTGGCAAGGCTGAGACTAAATTGAGGTGCCCGTTCACATCTAGAATTCTTACAGTATTACTTTTCTTTTTTTTTTAAATATATTTTATTGATTTTTTACAGAGAGGAAGGAAGAGAGATAGAGAGTTAGAAACATTGATAAGAGAGAAACATCGATCAGCTGCCTCCTGCACATCTTGCACTGGGGATGTGCCCGCAACCCAGGTACATGCCCTTGACTGGAATCGAACCTGGGACCTTTCAGTCCACAAGCCGATGCTCTATCCACTGAGCCAAACCGGTTTCGGCCAGTATTACTTTTCATACGTTAGAGTGTGTAATAATTGCATCGGAATATTGTTAAATATGCAGATTCTGATGGGTTCGGTCTGTGATGGGAAATCAGATACCTCATTCCAAATAATCTCCCCAAATACGCTCATGCTACTAGTCCAGGGATGACTCTGAGTAGCAAGAATTTGTGTCATACCACTGTAAGTACTTCCATATAATACTTAGCTCACTCAGCCCTGGGTGGCCACATGGGCCCAGAGCGGTGTTGGACAGAGCACCAAATTTTGCATTAGATTATCTGTGTTTCACATGGCTTCAACTTTAAACAACTTGCTTAACCCCTCAGAACACAATTAAGTAGGAATGATAATAACTGTTGACCAACAGCAAGGATTGCTTGTTGAAAAGCAAGATGAACTCTAAATTAATTGTCATTATACCCCATTTCTTTGTATTATTTAGAATGAAACTTTAGCACTCTCAAGGATTTTCCCCAATTTGTTGTTTATCGTCATTGTTTTAATCCATATCTGTTTTCCCCTTTGATTAATATTAAAAATGTGTCATTTTTTAGATACTTGAAATTCAATCAGAGCAAAGGGTCAAAATCATGCATTGCTTTCTACTCTATCAATTATCTAAATCAAACACTACTTAGAACTATTAAGTGCTTTTGATAAAAATACAAGCTTTCATTTTAATGTACAAATTGTTGTGCTAGAAATAGTTCATTTTGTCTTAGTTATCAGGTACAAAATTAAACATTTTAGATTTTAACTTGATTGTTTCCATCTTAGTTCTACCCAGGGACACCAGAACTACTAAGTTTTTAATGATAAACGTGATCGTTTTAATGCTGGCAAACTTACACAGCAGAAAAATACAAAATGGATGTCTCTCATAACCTCAACAATGAAATAGTAAAATTAGATATATCCCTATAATTAAATACTAGATAAAACAAATCTCTAGAAAAACAGAATTTGCCATTATAAGAAAAAAGTGTATTGATACCCCTAATATTTACCAGCTGTTTCAGCCTGACAGAGAGCTGGATGCAGGGGCTCCAGACATAAATAAAACCTGGTCCCTGCCCTCAAGGAGTCAGAGATTAGAGACAAGGAATGGTGTCACTGCCTGTGTGCCAATACTTCATTTGCATTTTCAGGTTATGTATTTTTTTCTTTCTTAATTTAGTGTGTTGGTATCATTTATATCTCAAAATACTTTTTTTCTTAAATGTGTCCTTTAAGTGGACATTGAAAAGGACGTCACTGTGATTTCATTAACTCCAGTGACCATCGTCCTGACCCCCGTGGAATCTAAAATATTTAAGATACACAAAGGAGACTTGATTTTTGGTTAAAGGAACTTATTTAACAATATTTTTCAGGCTAAGTATTGTTAAAAGGAGGTGGGAGATGGGAAGAATGTCTAAGGTGATTCCTCAATGTGATGGGTCCTTGTTACTATTGAGGCTTTCTATCCAAATGACTGGGATCTGACTCATCTGACTCCCGTTAAACCCTCTCCCTATCCTGCACTTGAGCAGTCATTGATTGAAACAGAAAAAAAAGCAATAATTCTTGTGTGTGCTCAGCACCCATAACATGGGGGAGGAGGAGTTGTGGGGTTGGGTGTGGGAGAAACAAAAGTCAGGGAAGAGTGGAAAAGGGGGGTCACTGAAGGTTACAAGGCAGGCACTGACTATCTCAAGGAGTACTGAGTTGCCCATAGAGGTAAAGTGTGGGAGAGGGGTGAGTAGAAGAATTTTCAAGAAATAAGACTATACACTATAATTTGTATCACTGTACAAATGAAAGAATTACATTTTATGAAATTCATAGATTCCTGACATAATTACAGTCACCTAGGGGAAGTATTAAATTTTACTAGAATGGAAGCCCAAATTTTCTCTCGTAGAGTCTGATACAATTGTCTGGGGTTCAGACAATGACCATGCCTGGGGCACTGGTATATTTAAGTTTCTAGGTCATTTTATGGAGCAGCTAACAGTTGAGAACTGCTAGCATAGAAGATGCTCATCACTTCCTTCTCTTTTAAAATCACCTACAACTGGTATTATCCCACATATGCCTTTTTAAAGAGAATTAAGAGAACTAATACCTAAACATTCTAAAGCTATTAAAGATATCAAGAAAGCCAGAAGCAGAGGTGAAATTGGAAAGGGAAGAAGTGGGGCCCTGGCTGGGTAGCTCAGTTGGTTAGACCATCGTCCCAATATGCCAAGGTTGCAGGTTCGATGCAATCAAATGCATAAATAAGAGGAACAACAAAGCGTTCTCTCTCTCTCTCTCTCTCTCTCTCTCTCTCTCTCTCTCTCTCTCTCTCTCTCATTAATAAAAATGTATTTTAAAAATGAAAGAGAAGACGTGGGCACAGTGTCCAAAATATTTACTTTGAAAAGAAGGGGAAAATGAAGAGTGATGGGTTTATTTTCACTTTGTAAAAGAATATGTACACTGAACATGATGATATTGGAAATGCCCATAAAGAGCAAGAATGAAAGTAATTTAATGGTGATTGGCAGTGTGAGATCTCCAGGGAAGAATGAAAGTAGCAGGGTCTGAAGATAGAAGGAAAGGGTTAGATTGAACACATGGAACCTGATCCACTGAGAATCAGGGAGGGAGACTTTGTATGGGTAGAGGGTAAGTTAAGAGAATCCTTAGCTTAGAATTTTTAATTGAATTGGAAGCAGTTTAGGAATTTAGACTTGAAACCAAAAACTGGACAGACAACAGAGACAAATTAGAGAGGACTGAATAGGATTAAGGCAGAGACTCTCTAAGGAGAGGGACCAGGAATCTATGACAGTAACAAGCTACAAAGTTATATGATTTTCTACAATGTGTCTCTGAGAATCCAAAAGTTTGGAATGACTGGACTTAAGGTTTTAATGAGAAGGATGAGAGGGCAAAACTACAGGG